ACCTATTCTGAATGGTGGGATATGATTCTAACTTTGTAGAATCACCATGGAACTGAGCCATACCATCAGCACACAGGAGGGTCAGGCCTCTGCTGAGATTGGGCAGAGAAACTTTGAAAAGGGAAACATCCGCATGCCCCCACCAAATCTGGGCTGTATCTATATCTGTTCTTCTGCAATTATAGATGAACCATTAATATAGTTAATGAGATTAAAATAAATACATAAATAAAATGATAGCTAAACTTGACCAAGAATGAAAATGTGCATTAACACAGTTTTTACATGGCCTAAGGAAGTTACTGAAAGAACCTCCAAAAACCTGAAAGAACCTCCAAAAATCTGAACAAATTTCCATATAATGTGTTGCTTGCCCCGATCTGAAGAAATATTCGACTGCTATAATTACGATTTTACTTATGTATTTTGGTTCCTAATAATTTTATTTTGAGAATCATTTAAATGTTCCCTGTTCTTAAACTACATTTTCTGTACAGTTATGACATGAATCGACATTGATATGTTGTTACAATGACCTTTCAGTCCTTTACTTTATAATTGTTGTACCATGTTGCAGTGTTATTGATCCAAAATTCCAGTGTTTTGAGAAGCTTTTAAAGTTACACTATATGCCCCATATGTGCTTGCTGAACACCCAATTCCAATTAATATGGACTTGGGCCCCTATTTGCCATTATAAAAACCTTTTCCTCTTCTGGGAAGGCTTTCCACTAGATTTTGGAATGTTGTTTGGGGATTTGTGCCCATTAACCCACAAGAGCATTAGCAAGGTTGGGCACTGATGACCGGCAAGAAGCCCTGGTGTGGAGTCAGTGTTCCACTCGATCCCAAAGGTGTTTAGTGAGGTTAACTCTTGTGTGTCCTTATGGACATTTTTGTCTTTTTCAGTTTTTATATATATATATATATATATATATATATATATATATATATATATATATATATATATATATATATATATATATATATATATATTCCTGTTTTAATGCAAAGAGCACAACTTTGGCATTACGTGGTTTTTATATTGGAATTTTAATATTTCACCCTTATGAAAGTAGATTTACTTTCATAAATCTATTTTAAACTAGGTACACAAAATAATTACACCCAAAGATCAAAATTTCCTCATTGAAACCCATTCAAACTGCAATATTTAATTACTGAGACATTTAAGCATATGTTACTTCTTGTTGTCTGTGTTGTGTTTTCTTTTAACCAAATAAATATGTGTACGGCAACTGGGTCGACTCTCCATTTACTCTCTGACAAAGAGATAGCATACAGTGTGTCTCATACAGTGTGTGCTTTCACCCTCAACATTTCTCTCCCATGTAAACACAGTGCGGAAAGGGAAGAAGATGTGCAAAGACAGGAAGTTAACATTTACACACTGCAGTCAGAAAATTAAAGGGGAAGATGCACACATACAGAGTCACTTCAGGTATACGTTTTTTGTGTAATTCTATATATTTAATGTATAGAATACTTTCCATACCTGTTACACATAAAATCATGCATTCTGTATTAATAGGCTTTTCTTTTATTTTGTTGACAAGGTTTCAAACCTTGAATTTTTAAGAAATTTCTGAAATATTTACTATTTTCTCAGGTTTTGCCTCTGGGGAAAATACATGCTTTTCCTTTTTTCTGATTCTGCTGTATTATAGAGCACTGCAGACCAACTGAATAAATGATACAGCTATAAGTTTGTGGGTGTGGTGTTTGGATATCAGAGTTATGGTTTGTATGTGTGAAGATATTTGAACAGTTTGAAAGAAAAAAATATATTGTACAGGAAATCACAAATATTACCCCATGTACATGAGTCAAAGGTTACTGCTCTTTGAAGATTTTTTGCATCATGTGAACAAACCAGCATTAGTAAAATCAATGTCGGTGAAAGTGTGGGGAAAAAAATAAAATAAATAAATATATATATATATATATATATATATATATATATATATATATATATATATATATATATATATATATATATATATATATATATATATATATAAATAAATAAATATTTTATGACAGTTTTTGGACATGTACATTTTTGTCCTCTATGGGCCTATGTGTAACTTTTTAAATTTACGTACAAGGGTTAAGCTCAGGGCTATGCAGGCAACTTCTGAGTGCTTCTAAGTGAACCTTGGCAAACAATGTCTTTATGGACCTCACTTTGTGCTGAGGGGCAATCTCATGCATGAACAGGTTTGGTTCCAGTGAAGGAAAATCATAATTCTACAGCCTGCCTTGACATTCTAGACAATCAGGTGCCTCCAGCTTTTCCAGGTGCCTCTGGAAAGAGTTTGTGGAATGCTCATATATGCTGTAGGGGTCATGGTCAGGTGTCCACATACTTTTAGTATGTGGACACATACTTGTTGTGTAGTTTTGCATTTTACTTTTTGAAAAACATCAATCACCAAAATGAAATAAGGGGGATCGTAGTGTAATACTATCGGAGCAAAGGTGCAGTATCCTGATAGATATGAGATCTTAATAATAATTCCTTTATAAACTTTAGATAGGAAGAAAGAAAACAGTGAAAATATCAGCTGAACCAAGAAAACTACAGATTAAATTATACTTCTTTGTGCATAAAGTACAATACATATACATTACACCAGTTCAAACCTTCACCTTTCAAATTAAAGACTGGAAAGAGCAAAAAGTTTTTTGCAGTTCATTTTGTACTCATTCACTACAGGGGATCATGAATCAGAAAGTTAGGCATGATGGCCAAGTTGCAATTAATCAGTCTCATAAAAAGAATAAGCAAATAGCTTTTTTGTGGTTACTTTTCCACTCAGTAAATAAGTCAATGTGATATTTGCAGACCTGATCAAATCACTTGTGTAAGGGATGTAGCTTCCTGGAACAGTGCATGCCTTGTGTATATGAGACCAAAGGTTCAGTCCCCTGCATCTCCACTTGCATGTTTTGGCCTAATACTGGTCAGCCAGAGTGTGGTGCTACTGAACAAATACTTTTGTCTTGCCCTTGTTGCATGTGGCCTTCTTCAATTTAAAACCAATAGGGCAAAGACTGTGTTCCAAGGTGCAATCGTAAGGGTGCTGCAAGGCGTTTTCTGTTGATGAACGTCTATGGAAACTCAGTAGGCAAGGCGTGTCAGGTGCCTTATAGCTACATGTTTCACCAACACCCCATCGTGTGCAGTTCATTTCAAACATACTGAATATTGTTTGGATTTATATCACCGCATCTGTATGGATTGTGAAAATTGTTTTGCTGTACTATGGAGTGCTAGTGCTGGAACATTTTCAACCAGTTGGCCTCAATTAAGTCCATAGTGTCAGATAGAGTGTCATGAACCCAAAGTTAAGGCTCTGGCAACCTCTGTCATCCTTATTAGCACTTGCATGGCTCCGTGGTGTAGGGGATGTAGCTCAGTGTTAGAGTGTATGCTTTGCATGTATGAAGTCTAGCATTCAATCCCCTGCATCTCCGTTTGCAAGTTTTGGCCAAACAATGGTCAGCCAGAGTGTGGCGCTACTGAACAACTGCTTTTGCCCTACACTTGTTGCATGTGGCACCCTTCGATTTAAAACCAATAGGGCAAAAGCTGTGTGCCAAGGTGCAAAACGTAAGGGTGCTGCAAGGCGTTTTCTGTTGATGAACGTCTATGGAAACTCAGTAGGCAAGGCGTGTTAGCTGCCTTATGACAACAAGTTTCATTGACAACCCATCGTGTGCAGTTCTTTTCAAACATACTGAATATAGTTTGGTTTTATATCACCGCATCTGTATGGATTGTGAAAACTGTTTTGATGTACTATGATGTGCTAGAGCCGGTACCTTTTGAACCAACTGCCTCTATTAAGTCCGTTGTGTTGGAAAGTGGGCCATGAGCCAGAAGGTAAGGCTCAGGTAACCTCTGTCATCCTTATTACCACTTGCATGGCTTGTTGGTGTGGGGGATGTAGCTCAGTGGTAGAGCACTTGCTTTGCATGTATGAAGTCCAGGGTTCAATCCCCTGCATCTCCATGTAAAAGTTTTGGCCAAATACTGGTCAGCCAGAATGTGGTGCTACTGAACAAACACTTTTGTCTTGACCTTGTTGCATGTGGCCTTCTTCAATTTAAAACCCATAGGGCAAAGGCTTTATTCCAAGCTGCACAACAGAAAGGTGCTGTAGCTGATCTCAGCTGCCTTATGAGTACAAGATTCATTGACACCCCATCGTGTACTGTTCCTTCTAAGCATACTGATTATTGTTTGGTTTTATCTCATCGCATCTGTATGGATTGTGAAAATTGTTTTGATGTACTATGATGTGCTAGAGCCGGTACCTTTTGAACCAACTGCCTCAATTCTGGCCTTTGTGTCTGAAAGGGGGTCATGATCCATTAGGTAAGGCTCAGGTAACCTCTGTCATCCTTCTTAGCACTTGCTTGGCTTACTGCTGTCGGGGATGTAGCTCAGTGGTAGAGCGCTTGCTTCGCATGTATGAAGTCCAGGGTTCAATCCCCTGCATCTCCAATTGCAAGTTTTGGCCAAACAATGGTCAGCCAGAGTGTGGCGCTACTGAACAACTGCTTTTGCCCTACACTTGTTGCATGTGGCACCCTTCGATTTAAAACCAATTGGGCAAAAGCTGTGTGCCAAGGTGCAAAACGTGAGGGTGGTGCAAGGCGTTTTCTGTTGATGAACGTCTATGGAAACTCAGTAGGCAAGGCGTGTTAGCTGCCTTATGACTACAAGTTTCATTGACAACCCATCGTGTGCAGTTCATTTCAAACATATTGAATATCGTTTGGTTTTATATCACCGCATCTGTATGGATTATGAAAATTGTTTTGCTGTACTATGATGTGCTAGTCCTGATATGTTTTGTACCAGCTGCCTCAATTAAATCCGTTGTGTCGAAAAGGGGGTCATGAACCAGAAGGTAAGGCTCAGGTGACAACGGTCATCCTTATTAGCACTTGCTTGAAATGCTTGGCTAGAAGATGAAGCTCAGTGGTGGGGCACATGCTTTGCATGTATTAGGTTTAGGGTTCAATCCTCTGCATTTCTATTTGCTTGTTTTGGCCAAATTCACGGTCAGCCAGAGTGTGGTGCTACTGAACAAACACTTTTGTCCTGCCCTTGTTTCATGCGGCCTCCTTCAATTTAAAACCCACAGGGCAAAGGCTGTGTTCAAAGGTGCAAAACGTAAGGGTGCTGCAAGGCTTTTTCTGGTTTTCTGTTCATGAACGTATATGGAAACTCAGTAGGCAAAGCGTGTTAACTGCCTTATGACTATAAGTTTCATTGACATCCCATTGTGTACTGTTTCTTCTAAGCATACTGATGATTGCTTGGTTTTATCTCATCGCATCTGTATGGATTGTGAAAACTGTTTTGATGTACTATGATGTGCTAGAGCCGGTACCTTTTGAACCAGCTGCCTCTATTAAGTCCGTTGTGTCGGAAAGGGGGCCATTAACCAGAAGGTAAGGCTCAGGTAACCTCTGTCATCTTAATTAGCACTTGCATGGCTTGTTGGTGTGGGGGATGTAGCTCAGTGGTAGAGCGCTTGCTTCGCATGTATGAAGTCCAGCGTTCAATCCCCTCCATCTCCAATTGCGAGTTTTGGCCAAATACTGGTCAGCCAGAGTGTGGTTGCTACTGAACAAACACTTTTGTCTTGACCTTGTTGCATGTGGCCTTCTGCAATTTAAAACCCATAGTGCAAAGGCTTTGTTCCAAGCTGCACAACAGAAAGGTGCTGTAGCTGATCTCAGCTGCCTTATGAGTACAAGATTCATTGACACCCCATCGTGTACTGTTCCTTCTAAGCATACTGATTATTGTTTGGTTTTATCTCATCGCATCTGTATGGATTGTGAAAATTGTTTTGATGTACTATGATGTGCTAGAGCCGGTACCTTTTGGACCAACTGCCTCAATTCTGGCCTTTGTGTCTGAAAGGGGGTCATGATCCATTAGGTAGGGCTCAGGTAACCTCTGTCATCCTTCTTAGCACTTGCTTGGGTTGCTGCTGTAGGGGATGTAGCTCAGTGGTAGAGCGCTTGCTTCGCATGTATGAAGTCCAGGGTTCAATCCCCTGCATCTCCATTTACAAGTTTTGACCTAACAATGGTCAGGCTTCCCAACCTTAATAGGTATCCAGCAAGAGTCTGGTGCTAGTTACAAAGTACTTTTGTCCTGCCCTTGTTGCATGTGGCCCTCTTCAATTTAAAACCAAAAGGGCAAAAGCTGTGTTCCAAGGTGCAAAATGTAAGGGGGCTGCAAGGCTTTTTCTTGTTTTCTGTTGATGAACTCATGTTATGGAAAATCAGTAGGCAAGGCGTGTCAGGTGCCTTATAGCTACATGTTTCACCGACACCCCATCGTGTGCAGTTCATTTCAAACATACTGAATATTGTTTGGATTTATATCACCGCATCTGTATGGATTGTGAAAATTGTTTTGCTGTACTATGGAGTGCTAGTGCTGGAACATTTTCAACCAGTTGGCCTCAATTAAGTCCATAGTGTCAGATAGAGTGTCATGAACCCAAAGTTAAGGCTCTGGCAACCTCTGTCATCCTTAATAGCATTGCATGGCTCGTTGGTGTAGGGGATGTAGCTCAGTGGTAGAGTGTATGCTTTGCATGTATGAAGTCTAGCATTCAATCCCCTGCATCTATAATTGCAAGTTTTGGCCAAACAATGGTCAGCCAGAGTGTGGCGCTACTTAACAACTGCTTTTGCCCTACACTTGTTGCATGTGGCACCCTTCGATTTAAAACCAATAGGGCAAAAGCTGTGTGCCAAGGTGCAAAACTTAAGGTGCTGTAGCTGATCTCAGCTGCCTTATGAGTACAAGATTCATTAACACCCCATCGTGTACTGTACCTTCTAAGCATACTGATTATTGTTTGATTTTATCTCATCGCATCTGTATGGATTGTGAAAATTGTTTTGATGTACTATGATGTGCTAGAGCCGGTACCTTTTGAACCAACTGCCTCAATTCTGGCCTTTGTGTCTGAAAGGGGGTCATGATCCATTAGGTAAGGCTCAGGTAACCTCTGTCATCCTTCTTAGCACTTGCTTGGCTTGCTGCTGTTGGGGATGTAGCTCAGTGGTAGAGCGCTTGCTTCGCCTGTATGAAGTCCAGGGTTCAATCCCCTGCATTTCCAATTGCAAGCTTTGGCCAAACAATGGTCAGCCAGAGTGTGGCGCTACTGAACAACTGCTTTTGCCCTACACTTGTTGCATGTGGCACCCTTCGATTTAAAACCAATAGGGCAAAAGCTGTGTGCCAAGGTGCAAAACGTAAGGGTACTGCAAGGCGTTTTCTGTTGAGGAACGTCTATGGAAACTCAGTAGGCAAGGTGTGTTAGCTGCCTTATGACTACAAATTTCATTGACAACCCATCGTGTGCAGTTCATTTCAAACATACTGAATATAGTTTGGTTTTATATCACCGCATCTGTATGGATTGTGAAAACTGTTTTGATGTACTATGATGTGCTAGAGCCGGTACCTTTTGAACCAACTGCCTCTATTAAGTCCGTTGTGTCGGAAAGGGGGCCATGAACCAGAAGGTAAGGCTCAGGTAACCTCTGTCATCCTTATTACCACTTGCATGGCTTGTTGGTGTGGGGGATGTAGCTCAGTGGTAAAGCGCTTGCTTTGCATGTATGAAGTCCAGGATTCAATCCCCTCCATCTCCAATTGCAAGTTTTGGCCAAATACTGGTCAGGCTTCCCAACCTTAATAGGTATCCAGCAAGAGTCTGGTGCTAGTTACAAAGTACTTTTGTCCTGCCCTTGTTGCATGTGGCCCTCTTCAATTAAAAACCAAAAGCTGTGTTCCAAGGTGCAAAATGTAAGGGGGCTGCAAGGCTTTTTCTTGTTTTCTGTTGATGAACTCATGTTATGGAAAATCAGTAGGCAAGGCGTGTCAGGTGCCTTATAGCTACATGTTTCACCGACACCCCATCGTGTGCAGTTCATTTCAAACATACTGAATATTGTTTGGATTTATATCACCGCATCTGTATGGATTGTGAAAATTGTTTTGCTGTACTATGGAGTGCTAGTGCTGGGACATTTTCAACCAGTTGGCCTCAATTAAGTCCATAGTGTCAGATAGAGTGTCATGAACCCAAAGTTAAGGCTCTGGCAACCTCTGTCATCCTTATTAGCACTTGCATGGCTCCTTGGTGTAGGGGATGTAGCTCAGTGTTAGAGTGTATGCTTTGCATGTATGCAGTCTAGCATTAAATCCCCTGCATCTCTAATTGCAAGTTTTGGCCAAACAATGGTCAGCCAGAGTGTGGCGCTACTGAACAACTGCTTTTGCCCTACACTTGTTGCAAGTGGCACCCTTCGATTTAAAACCAATAGGGCAAAAGCTGTATGCCAAGGTGCAAAACGTAAGGGTGCTGCAAGGCGTTTTCTGTTGATGAACGTCTATGGAAACTCAGTAGGCAAGGTGTGTTAGCTGCCTTATCACTACAAGTTTCATTGACAACCCATCGTGTGCAGTTCTTTTCAAACATACTGAATATCGTTTGGTTTTATATCACCGCATCTGTATGGATTGTGAAAACTGTTTTGATGTACTATGATGTGCTATAGCCGGTACCTTTTGAACCAACTGCCTCTATTAAGTCCGTTGTGTTGGAAAGGGGGCCATGAACCAGAAGGTAAGGCTCAGGTAACCTCTGTCATCCTTATTAGCACTTGCATGGCTTGTTGGTGTGGGGGATGTAGCTCAGTGGTAGAGCGCTTGCTTTGCATGTATGAAGTCCAGCGTTCAATCCCCTGCATCTCCAATTGCAAGTTTTGGCCAAATACTGGTCAGCCAGAGTGTGGTGCGACTGAACAAAGACTTTTGTCTTGACCTTGTTGCATGTGGCCTTCTTCAATTTAAAACCCATAGGGCAAAGGCTTTATTTCAAGCTGCACAACAGAAAGGTGCTGTAGCTGATCTCAGCTGCCTTATGAGTACAAGATTCATTGACACCCCATCGTGTACTGTTCCTTCTAAGCATACTGATTATTGTTTGGTTTTATCTCATCGCATCTGTATGGATCGTGAAAATTGTTTTGATGTACTATGATGTGCTAGAGCCGGTACCTTTTGAACCAACTGCTTCGATTCTGGCCTTTGTGTCTGAAAGGGGGTCATGATCCATTAGGTAAGGCTCAGGTAACCTCTGTCATCCTTCTTAGCACTTGCTTGGCTTGCTGCTGTTGGGGATGTAGCTCAGTGGTAGAGCGCTTGCTTTGCATGTATGAAGTCCAGGGTTCAATCCCCTGCATCTCCAATTGCAAGTTTTGGCCAAACAATGCTCAGCCAGAGTGTGGCGCTACTGAACAACTGCTTTTGCCCTACACTTGTTGCATGTGGCACCCTTCGATTTACATTTACGTTTATTCATTTAGCAGACGCTTTTATCCAAAGCGACTTACAAATAAGCAAAGCGATATATCAAGCAGGGAACAATACAAGTAGTGCTACTATACAAGATCCATTAATTGAATACCAGAGGAAGCAAAGTGTACAGAGTAGAGGTGTAAGTGCAAGTCTTTTTTTTTTTTTTTTTTTTTTTTTTAGGAGATGGTTAGGTGTTCACGGAAAAGGTGGGTCTTTAGCTGTTTTTTGAAGATAGTGAGAGACTCTGCAGTCCGGATTGAGATCGGAAGAGCATTCCACCACTGGGGAACAGTATGTGTGAAGGTTCTGGAAAGGGACCTTACGCCTCGCTGAGTGGGAACTACTAAACGTCGGTCGCTAGTCGATCGCAGATTGCGAGAGGGAATGTATGCCTTCAGGAGAGAGTTGAGGTAGGAGGGTGCTGTTCCTGACAAGGTCTTGTAGGTGAGCATCAAGGCCTTGAACTTGATGCGGGCAGCTACAGGAAGCCAGTGGAGGGAGATGAAGAGGGGTGTGACATGAGTAGTCTTGGGCTGGTTGAAGACAAGGCGCGCTGCAGCATTCTGAATCATTTGAAGGGGTTTGATGGAGCTGGCTGGGAGGCCTGAAAGCAGTGAGTTGCAGTAGTCCAGTTTAGAGATGACAAGAGCCTGGACAAGTAGCTGTGTAGCCTGTTTGGTGAGGAATGGTCGGATTTTCTTGATGTTGTACAGGATGAACCTACAGGACCTTGCAGTTGCTGAGATGTGGTCTGTAAAGGTCAAGCCCTCATCAAGAATCACCCCAAGGTTCCTGGCCGTCTTGGTTGGCATGAGTGTAAGTGAGCTGAGCTGTACAGTGAAGTTCTGGTTGATTGAGGGATAGGCTGGGATGACGAGAAGCTCCGATTTTCCCAGGTTAAGCTGAAGATGGTGCTTCCTCATCCAGACCGAGATGTCTGACAGGCAAGATGAGATGCGAGCAGAAACAGATGGGTCGTCAGGCTGGAAGGACAAATAGAGCTGAGTGTCATCAGCATAGCAGTGATAGGAAAAGCCATGAGACTCAATCACCTGACCGAGAGATGTAGTGTATATAGAAAAGAGGAGTGGACCCAGAACTGATCCCTTTTGGAACGCCAGTTGTGAGTTGCTGAGTTCCAGAAATACCTCCGCTCCATGATACCTTGAAGGATCTGTCCGAAAGATAGGATTCCACCCAGCGTAGAACCGTTCCATTGATGCCCAGGTTGGAGAGAGTTGATAGGAGGATCTGATGGTTCACAGTGTCGAAGGCAGCAGAGAGGTCAAGTAGGATGAGGACAGATGATCTAGAGGTTGCTCTTGCTAGTCGTAAGGCTTCAGTGACGGAAAGCAGAGCAGTCTCCGTGGAATGGTTGCTCTTGAAGCCAGACTGCTTGGTGTCTAGGAGGTTGTTCTGTGTGAGAAAATTGTAGAGTTGATTAAAAACGGCTCTTTCGAGAGTTTTGGAAAGAAAGGGGAGGAGGGAAACAGGTCTGTAATTGTCAACTATAGAAGGATTGAGTGATGGTTTTTTAAGCAGTGGGGTAACCCAGGCTTGCTTAAATGAGGTAGAGTATGTGCCAGTAGAGAGCGATGTGTTAAAGATGTGTGTAAGTGCAGGTAATAGTGTGGGAGCGATGGACTGAAGAAGTTGAGAAGGGATAGGGTCAAGGGGACAGGTTGTGGGACGGCTAGAGCGGAGGAGTTTAGAGACATCAGTCTCTGAGAGGGGAGAGAAGGAAGTCAGTTGGGAGGTACGTGGAGGAGGAGTTGATCTATGCATGTCTGGGGTTGAGAACTGGTTCCTAATTGATGTAACCTTGCTGGAAAAGAAACTTGCAAAGTCATCTGCAGTGAGAGAGGAGGGGGACAGAGAAGAGAGGAAATAGTTTTGAAAAGAATGCGAGTGTTGGGAGAACTACCAATCTTATCTTGGAAGTATGTGGTTTTAGCAATGGAGATGCTTTTGGAAAAAGAGGAGAGAAGTGTCTGGTAATTGGTAAGGTCAATTGGATTGTTTGATTTGCGCCATTTCCTTTCAGATGCTCTTAGTTTGGCCCGGTTGCTACGCAGAGCTTCTGAGAGCCAAGGACAAGACGGTGATGTGCGATTTAAAACCAATAGGGCAAAAGCTGTGTGCCAAGGTGCAAAACGTAAGGGTGCTGCAAGGCGTTTTCTGTTGATGAACGTCTATGGAAACTCAGTAGGCAAAGCGTGTTAACTGCCTCATGACTATAAGTTTCATTGACATCCCATTGTGTACTGTTTCTTCAAAGCATACTGATGATTGCTTGGTTTTATCTCATCGCATCTGTATGGATTGTGAAAACTGTTTTGATGTACTATGATGTGCTAGAGCCGGTACCTTTTGAACCAGCTGCCTCTATTAAGTCCGTTGTGTCGGAAAGGGGGCCATGAACCAGAAGGTAAGGCTCAGGTAACCTCTGTCATCCTTCTTAGCACTTGCTTGGCATGCTGATGTAGGGGATGTAGCTCAGTGGTAGAGCGCTTGCTTCGCATGTATGAAGTCCAGGGTTCAATCCCCTGCATCTCCATTTACAAGTTTTGACCTAACAATGGTCAGGCTTCCCAACCTTAATAGGTATCCAGCAAGAGTCTGCTGCTAGTTACAAAGTACTTTTGTCCTGCCCTTGTTGCATGTGGCCCTCTTCAATTAAAAACCAAAAGGGCAAAAGCTGTGTTCCAAGGTGCAAAATGTAAGGGGGCTGCAAGGCTTTTTCTAGTTTTCTGTTGATGAACTCATGTTATGGAAAATCAGTAGGCAAGGCGTGTCAGGTGCCTTACAGCTACATGTTTCACCGACACCCCATCGTGTGCAGTTCATTTCAAACATACTGAATATTGTTTGGATTTATATCACCGCATCTGTATGGATTGTGAAAATTGTTTTGATGTGCTATGATACGCTAGAGCCGGTACCTTTTGTACCAACTGCCTCAATTAACTCTGTTGTGTCGGAACAGGGGTCATGAATCAGAAGGTAAGGCTCAGTTAACCTCTGTCATCCTTATTAGCATTTTATTGGTTTGTTGGAGTAGGGGATGTACCTCAGTGGTAGAGTGCTTGCTTTGCATGTATGAAGTTTAGGGGTCAATCCCCTGCGACTTCACATGTGAGTTTGTCCAAACAGTGGTTAGGCATCCTGACTTTCATAGGTATCCAGCAAGAGTCTGGTGCTAGTTACAAAGTACTTTTGTCCTGCCCTTGTTGCATGTGGCCCTCTTCAGTTTAAAACCAAAAGGGCAAAAGCTGTGTTCCAAGGTGCGAAATATAAGGGGGCTGCAAGGCTTTTTCTGGTTTTCTGTTGATGAACTCATGTTACTGATACTGAATATTATCAGTAACAATACTGAATATTGTTTGGATCAGTAGGCAAAGCGTGTTAGCTGCCTTATGACTATAAGTTTCATTGACATCCCATTGTGTACTGTTTCTTCTAAGCATACTGAAGATTGTTTGGTTTTATCTTATCGCATCTGTATGGATTGTGAAAACTGTTTTGATGTTCTAGAGCCTGTACCTTTTGAACCAACTGCCTCAATTAACTCTGTTGTGTCGGAACAGGGCTCATGAACCAGAAGAAAGGCTCAGGCGACCGAAAGGAACAGCTCCTCCTGAAAAGGCTAGACACAGAGCATTCAATCCTCCACAAGAAGCACATGATGCTCCTGGAGGCAGGGAAGAAGCATGTGGGGAATCAAACTGCTTACAATTAGTAGACCCCATCAACCCCTTATTCCTTCTTCAGGGTCGCAGGGAACCTAGCGCTTATCCCAGGCAGCATCGGGCACAAGGCAGGGTACACTCACAGTACCACATACACACCCATACTCCCACTCCCATTCATACACATGGCCCTGGTGGGAATCGAACCCTGGACCCTGGTGTGAGGCAAACATGCTAACCACTAAGCCACCAGGCGCCCCCATACACCATTCACTGTTCACTGTTCACAATCGTCTATATAAGTTTGAATCCTTAAGCCCATCATCCCCACACACAGACAAAACACTCTCGGACTTAAAGACAGGCCGAAAGGAAGAACTGTGAATTTGTAATGTATGTCTTGGTAGGCAAAACAAAGGAATTTCCTGTGCAAGTGATAAATCCTTATGTAGAAAAAGCATATTTCAGATCAACTGACATGAATCAGTAGTTCTGATGAATTAAGTGAGAAAGAGTGCTGCCTGTTAGCAGGCTGGAAGCGTGTTTCCTCAAATGTTTGTTTATTACTCTGAGATCCAGAATAGGACGAATTGAGCCATCTTTTTTTGGAACCAGGAAATACCGAGAGTAGAACCCCTGATGATGTAGGGGAATCACTCAAATCGCCCCTTTCTTGAGGACGGAGGAGATTTTGTCTTTCAGAATGTGAGTAGTGCTCTCCTCTGTATGAGAAGAGATAGCTCCAGTGAAATGTGGGGGTTTCTTTGCAAACAGAAGTCTGTAACCCTTGGTTACAGTTCAGATCACCTACTTGGGGCCCAGCACACACTGCCAAGCTGTTATGTGGCTGACTCAAGGGTGTTGCCACCTGAGCCAGAGAATCACTCAGAATTACGCATGCGCCCAGGTCGCCCATTTGTGATATAATGGCCCCATCTAGCGGACAGCTTGGGGGCGACATCTGGGGCTGCCGTATCCTGGAAGTGAATTCGTCTGATTTGTTTGACTTTTTTGTTTTGTTTTGGAGAACACTGCGGCCTTTTTCTTATATACTTCATTGCAATATTACTACATTTAATTGCAACAGTCAAACCTGATCTATCACAAGGTTTTTCTAAACAAAGACTAGCTCCAAACTCCAAACGTCTGTAATTTTCTGGATGCTTCTGAAGAGGTCAGGGATGCTCTTCCCATAGCTGGATCTCGAACACGAGCTGATGAAAGAGAGCATAATTACTGCAAAATACTATTCATTTTTTATTATTTGTTATATTATATTATATATGTTAATTTCTCAAAATGCATGAATAAAGTAGGCTTTCCCCCAGATTTCTACCAGCTCAAGCTCTGTAACCAGTGAATTGTCCAATTTTTTTTTTATTATTTTTTTTAGTTTACAGCAGAATGGTAATATAGAGGACTTATTTCTGTCAAAATTTCAAGCTTGTATTTTGTCCCCCACCAGAGATATTCAACCAGAGATATGTTGTGCATGCAGACTACACTTACCTAGGTACCCCCTAAAAAAAAGTAAGACTGAAACTCAAACCCTTCCCATTACAAATTGACCATAAATGTGGAACTGAGAGCAATCTTCAGCATTTCATTTAGACTTAAGTTCTCAATCTAAAGAACAATAATGTGCTAAATGTTCATACATGTCTATGTACCATGTAATGTTTTGCATTGCCGATAAAGGTAATCACTCAAAATTAAAATAAAAAAATATTACAAAATGGTCAAGCAGCCAACTTTACAACTATTGGACCACTTGGGCTGATCCCCCAAAAGAAGCTGTGGTAAAAGCCTGGAAAAGCATCACAAAAGACAGATTGTTGATGTCAGTGGGTCGCTGGCTTGACACAGTTACTGCAAGCAAGAGATATGCAACAACATTTGTCATGTACCTTAAGATGATCTGTTCCAATACTTTTGCTCAACCAAAAAATTGGCTGGTCTGCAACCAAAGGTGCCAAGTTGTACAGGAAATGAAAACTGAAAATCTCATCTGTCATCTTATATTCGACATTTGATCTCAAAGCCCAAGTCCCCAGTGTATAACAAAAACAATAGAATTATCTTTGCCGTTCCAATACTTTTGGAGAGGACTATGTGTGTGTGTGTGTGTGTGTGTGTGTGTGTGTGTGTGTGTGTGTGTATATATATATCGGAAAATTGACTGCACAGCTGTCCCATATGCCAGGTGTATGTTATTCCTGCATTATATTTAAGTGCACCCTGCTTAATGTAATGCCAAATCTATTGTGTTAATTAATTAATTAATTAATTATATTATATTATATTATATTATATTATTCATTTATTTCAAAGACATTAAAATTGGAAATGAAACGTCAGAGTTGTTTTTGTAGGCCTGCGTGTGTTTAAAAGGAATGGGATTAGTTGAAATGGTCTCAGTAGGAATTTTTAGGTCAAATTTCTCCCTAGTCACCGACAGGTTCATTCCCCCTCATCTCCCGCCTCACAGCTCTGCTGCTGTCACCGAGTCGCGAGTCCAGCGCGCGCTCCTATTGGATTATTCCGCCACCGCGTTCTTCTGGGCGTGGAGGCGTTAGAGCCTACAGAAACCCCCCTTGGATAGAAATAAAGAAGGTTGTGCGTAAGGAAATTCGAGGGATCTCGACGCACAAATTGTAGGCGATTTTACTGTAAACACACCGGGATGAAAACGCAAAATTCCACGTGTAGCCGCGGGTTCGGACAAACGAGCCCTCTCACTAACCGAGCGCGCGAAGCGTTCTTTATTCTTTAAGGACGCCAGGAGACAAAACGAGGCAAATGGTGGTCCACTGATCTGTCGAGGTGGCTGACTTGGGCATTTAGGGGTAGATTGTGCGCGTGCATGTACGCACCTGCCGAAATTACGCTAGCTGTGATTGCGCCAAATGGTCACGCGTTGATTTTTTTTTTGTTGTTTTGCGCAAGCGGCGTGAGCGAAAACGATAGCTGCGCGCGCGCGTGCGTGCGTGCGTGCGTATACAGCAAGGCGTTCCGTGCTTATTGAGGACGTTTCCAGCTCGGTTCGAGTTGTTAAGCCTAGCTCTTGTTCCTTGGTGGACAGTGCGAAATCGTCCCATGTTGAACTGCGCCAGCGCGCGCGCGCACGCTGCGTGAACTCGGCAAGCTGCGCCTCCATGGTGCAAACGACGCCGCTGCTTCGCGCGAACTGGAAACGCTGTTAAGACACAACGCTTCGGAGTAACGCTCGATTAGCATGGAGCCCGGCAGCGGACCCAGACCCGCTGACGGCCCCTCGCTCTCCAAGTGTCCGTCCGTTCCCAATTCGCGGTGCGAGCTCAACGGGAACATTTATGAGTCCGTCAGCGAGGGCAACGTCAACATGATGGACGGCTCGGGCGCGGTGCGCGGTGGAAGCGACCCGAGCGCTTACCCGCCGCTCTCGAGCTACCGGCGAGCCGCCGGGCGCCAGCGCTTCATCCGGAGGAGTTTGTGGTTTGCGGACGACGAGCAGGCGCACGAGGCTCCGGAATACGACGTGCGGAGTGACATGGCCACCGTTTGTCTGCGAACGATTGTGGACCGGACCAGGGGCGCTTGGTCAAGCGTGCAAGAAGGCTCGAGCACCGAGAGTCAGGCTGGACACAAGGACAGCGCCACGGAGAGCACGAGCGCAGACGAGGAGAAGGACAGGGCCAGTTCTGGTGTGATCGCAGGTGCACCAAACGGCGGAAAGAGCAGCATAAAGACTGCGAGCGAAGAGAACGAAGAAGAGGCCGAGATGAAGGCCGTCGCCACCTCTCCCAGTGGCCGCTTCCTCAAATTCGACATCGAGCTTGGTAGAGGCTCTTTCAAAACCGTCTACAAGGGCTTGGACACGGAGACCTGGGTGGAAGTGGCTTGGTGCGAACTCCAGGTAGGTAAAAGGTGGATTTGATGGCAATAAAATTTATACAAACCATTGCAACCATTTATTTTTATTTATTTATTTAGCTATTTAAACGTGTTCACAGAGGATAAATCATCTAATCATAAATCATTCTGCTTCAGGCAGGCAGCTGGTTTCTGCCCAGAAACTAAATATGCTCGCATTGGTCATGATCTACCTGTTGCCAAAAAGCAATCAGGATTTGTCTTTAAAAGATTTATCTAGCTACGGTGTAGACAACATGCAATGATCACTTCATCCACAGACACTGCCAAACCCTGCAGTTGTCAGACAATGCATAATCTCAGTAGATATAAAAAGAACTTCACAGCAAGGATTTGTTCTGGGGCTCAGCCAACAGATCATTAGCAGTCCATGGTCAGGACAAAAAAAAATGCAGAGAGACTTGTGGGTGCAGAGCGGAGATGAAATGGTCAAAGCGAAATGCCATGTAAAAAGACACGGTTTCCATTCTGGACCATTTTCATTATGATCTTATGATCTAGCAACTGTTCTCAAACCAGTCACCATTTAGTGCCACCAGAAGGAATTGGGTTGGCACAAAATCAGTAGATAAATAGACAAAGTATTAGACACGCCGGTTCCTAATTTCCATCATTTGTTTAACCAATATGGATGCCTTCATAAGTGAAAAACGGTTGATCTGGCATCGTAATATGCTGTAACATGCAATGCTGTGAAGCAGCCAGGAAGGGGAAATTATTTGGTAATGTCTTTGATGTGTTAATGGTGTGGTTAATACCACTTTATTTATTTATTTATTTATTTATTTATTTGTCTATCATTCAAACAATGGTAGGATTAGCATCCCTGCTGAAAAAACCCATTAGGAACACTCATAGAATTTGCACTGGTTGTAATTGAAACTGTAATGGTCCCTATGGGTCTCTACTTGTAATTTGTTGCCTTCTATTGGTGGCATGTTATGTGTAGTGGATACCATTAAGGACCAATAATGGTAATGGTTAGCTGATGGTTTCCACTACAAATACCAGTACAAACCATTAGAATTTCTATGATGGCTCCTATAGTTGTGGGTTTTTTTTCTTTTCTTCCCCCAGCAGGGTTTATTAAGTACAGTTGGGCTGGGTGAGACTGATATGTAATATTGCTATTGTGACAAACTGTCACAATAACTTTTCTGAGATAATATACATGTTGGGATTAATAAAGACTGGAAGCTGCTGATCTGATGTTAATTTTGTACTCAATCTTTAAAATGCAAATTGTGGTCTGTGCAAAAACACACACCCACACACACACACACTATTTCACCATTTAATACCTCACTAATGCTCTTGTAGTTGAATGGGTAAATCCCTGCAGCC